AGCTGGAAACAGCTGGGAGGGCTGGGGGTGTTCAGCTGGAGACGGGAAAATCCAGGGAGACCCAGAGTTCTTCCAGCACCTGAGGGGGCTCCAGGAGAGTTGGAGAGTGTTGTGATTGAGATGGAGACAATACAAAGCAACACACTCTGTTTTCAGAAGGCTTCAAACTGGTTTTATTCTGCCATGCATGCTTTTTATCCATTCTTACAAAACTCATAAATTTACACTTTACTCATTGGTCAGGAAAGGTAAACAAAGTGCTCATTGGAACAGAGTTGCAGGTTTATCTTATTTATCTTCTTTCTTTCTTGGTTTCTGTGTCAACACCCTTGGTAGGAAATTCTTTCATGGGTAAACATGGATCCTGTTATCAAACATGGATCCTGTTATCAAACATGGATCCTGTTATCAGACTTCTCTCTGGCTGACAGAAGTTGCTGTAAAACCTCTTCCACAGGAGAGGGACCTGGGACAAGGATTGGAGTGACACAGGGAATGGCTCCCACTGCCAGGGGGCAGGGATGGATGGGAGATTGGGAAGGAATTTTTGGCTGTGAGGATGAGGAGGGGCTGGGATGGAATTCCCAGAGCAGCTGCCCCTGGATCCCTGGCAGTGCCCAAGGCCAGGTTGGACATTGGGGTTTGGAGCAGCCTGGGATGATGGAAGATGTCCCTGGCCCTGGAACTGGATGAGTTTTAAGTTCCCTTTCATCCCAAACCATTCCATGATTTTTTAAGTGACAGCCTAAAATTGGCTGAAAAACCCCAACCTACAGAGACATTTCTCTCAAGGTCTCTTGTTCTCTAACCCAGATAAATACAATGCTCCTTTTTGCCCTCTAAACATTCAAACGACACCAAAAAACCCCAAAGAGGAGATCAGTTCCTCTTTCCAGAGTATCACAGGTGTGTGAGGGATGCTCTGCAGGCCGTGTGTGCAGCCAGCCCTGTCCCAGGAGCTCGGGGCAGGATTACCTGACTGCTCAATCACTGCTGCTCACTCCAGCTGCCAGAGGAAAAGCTGCTTATGGCAAGATTGTACTTCAAGACTTATCAAGATATTTCACATGAGAACTGGGAATTCTGTTGATAAGCCCTGTCTCACAGTCACATCCCTCAAAGAACAAAATAATCTGTTTGCTGTCTGGGCTTTCCATGCAGCCTCAGAAGTCCCTTCTCTCTCTTCCTCCCCTCAGGCACCCCTGTAATCCAGAAATGCAATGTTTGACCAAGGCAGCTGATTTTTTTAAAGCCTTCTGAAGGGCTGCTGATTTACAGGGATGTGCTGGAAACTCCTGTGCACCTTCAGAGGGGAGTTAATACCTGGCTAGAAACTAAAGGCATCAAGTAAAATTAAATCCAGCACCTAAGGACCAACAGGATGCTTGCCTTGATTACAAAGAGTTTATTTAGTCATGGGGAGGAGCTGTGGACAGCTCAGCTCTCATTCCACTGCCCTCTGGGATGCTTTCACACTCTGGTGTAAATGTGGGACAGCAGAGATCCTGAATTCTGACTAATTCTGAACAAAGTTGTCTTGCTGGAACTTGGGCAGAAAAACCATCTCAAGTAAGTGAGCAACTTTGTTTTATCTCAGAAGAAAAATATTGATTATTTCCCTGCCTCTTTCTGATTTTCCCTTCAAAATCTTTAAATGTATTTTACTTTGTCACTGGGTATTATTTCCTTCAGGAATAATATAATATAATATTTCCTCTCAGCTGTGTTGTGGTAGGTGTCACGTGGCAGTTTTTGAGGGTCTGATTCTCCTCAGGGTGGATTTTCACAAAGATCCCACAGTGCAGCTCAGCTCCTGCTCTGAGCCCAGGGCAATACAAGAAAATAAAGAACAACTCTTGTCACTGAGAAGACCTGAAAATACCCCTCATTTGTTTAATCAGGATGAGGAGAAGAAATATCATCAGATATAAATAATATCATGAAAAACCTCAAAAATTCAAGTGGCTGTGAAATCATGGGGGTGGTTTGGCACTGCTGCCTAGCAGAAGTTTCCTCCTGTTCCTGCTGTAGTTGTTGGGGTTTATGGTCAGTTCTCCTTTTGTCTTTCCTTATCTCTTCATAAATATAATTTGAGAATAGAGATTAAGCAAAAAAACAATTAAACATGAAGCTAAAGGAATGGTCTTATCAAATCACCCAGTTTCTGTTTAATGTCATTCTTTTAAAGAAGCAAAGACTCAAAGCAGACTTTGACACAGGATGTGTTTTACAACTCCCAACTCCATGTATAAATAAAACTGACTTCAAAAAAAGAGACTTGGATATATTCCCTGCTTGGGATGGGATTTAGAAATACAAATGTGAGCATTGCACTCAGTGGTGGGGAGCAGGAGAATCCTGGGGTCCAGTGGGATTTCTCAGCTCTTGGCAGCCCCAAAGTGCTTCCAGTTGGAGCACAGTGTGCTGACCCATTTTATGTTAATAATCCAAATAATTAATAGTCCTAATACAGAGCTTGGAAGGGAAGCAGTTAATCATTGTCTGAAGGATGGAAATTCCTCTTGTGAATTTGCAGTTGGCCTTGGAGGTGCTGGCACCACCCAGTCCAAAATTCACAACTCACAACTAAAAAGTCCTGGTGCTGGGAGAGCTGGGCTCTGCTCTGGGCTCTGTCACTGGAGTTCTTTGTGGCCCTGGGCAAATTGCTGCCTTCCCTTTTCCCTGTGTGTAAAATGGGATGGATAAACTCATGGGTTTGTTCCCAACCTGTGGCATTCAGGATTTGGGAAATGGCTCAGGGGCTGCAGTTGCAGGTGCTGCTTTGAGCATCTTCCCATTAAAGGAGCTGATGTAGAGTGAAAACAACAACAAAAAATAACAATAATTTGCAATATTGCTGCTGGGTATTGCTGCTAATGGTGGGGATTAGGATAATGTCAGTGCAAATTGTCTGAAATATGAATTCTGGAATTTCACAGCAAAGACTGTGGCCTGTACCTGCATGCACCCCATAGCATGGAAAATGCTTTTCCAGGGCTAAAAGTGTCCTTCTTTGGGAAGTTCTGGTTTGGTTTTGGTTTGGTAATGTGGTGGTTTGAGACAGCCTTTAAATCTGCCAGCATGATTTTGTTTAGGTGTGATCTTCGTGATGTTTTTCATTTATAATATAAAATAAACCATAAAATACTTTGTCTAGCCAAGAGTGCTCCATCTCTGGAAGTGTCCAAGGTTGGAGCACCCTGGGGCAGTGGAAGGTGTCTCTGTCCATGGCAGGGGGTGGCACTGGAGATTCCAGGAGCCACAGCATGGAGAGTGGCAGTGCAGAATGAAAAACCCATTTTTTATGTGAAATTCAGGAGTTTGTGCAGCCAGAAACCAATAAATTTACTGCAGAGCAGGGAAATCTGCAGCTCTGCTTCTCCAGCAGTCCTGCAGTAATTTTTATTATGAGACAATTATGGTTGTGTGACCTTCTGCCCCCTCCTTCTCCCACTAATGAGTTTTCCTGGATTAGCAAAGCCTCATTAACTCGGGTGAGACTTTGGGAAATATGTAAATAAAAGTTAGTTGTTTTGAAAACAGCCTTTTATTGATCTGAGCAACAACATTTTTCCTTAGGTTCGTGCTGGAGCCCCTCCTGCCAAAAAAGATGCATTCTAGGTCGCAAGATAAATTGGACAAGGATGACCTAGATAAAGATAAAAAGGAAAAGAAGAAGGAGAAGAGGAACAGCAAGCATCAAGAGATATTTGATAAAGAATTTAAATCTACTGATATTTCTCTGCAGCAGACTGAAGCAGTGATCCTTTCAGAAACGGTAACTTTATTAGCAAGGAAAGCTTTATCTAATTCTGAGCCATGTTCTCTCTCTTTTGAAATCAAAATGTTGATTTTTACCGTTTAGCTCCTTTGTAGGCCAGAAATAACTCTGAGGGGATACACCACAGTGTTAATATACATGCTAATGAGTCAAAAATACAGATTTGATTTACAGTGGGGAAAAGATCCTCTGAAAATCTTCACCCAGAGCTCTGGGTGACTGTTTGATGAAGCAGCAGATGGCACAGCATAGCTGAAATCAATGCTGCCATCCCAGCAGCCTATGGAACTGCTGCTTCCCAGTAGGCTGGGATGGGTTTTCCCACATTTCACTGCAGGACAGTGTTTGGTGGGACATTCCGAGGTCATTCTGTCAGCAGCTGTGTGTCCTTGAAGGGCTGTTTGGAGCAGAAAATCCTGAGCGGTTCCTGTGTGTAAGGATATTAAAACCAGGGCATATCTGCCTTAAACCCTCTCTTCTTGGCTTAGATTTAATTCAGTGGAACTGTCCTCAAGGCTTAGGTAACACGAGGAGTTGGAGCTGGGAAATTGAAAGCAGGGATGTCTAAAGCTGGAGCAGGGAGAGTGTGAACTGACTGTGACCTCCAAATCTCTGCCTGGACACCTGTTTGGAGGCCAAGAGTTTAAAATTGCCTCCCAGAAATAAATGGAATGTTCTTTTCAAGAGCTGCACAAGCAGAGCCAGCTTTGCACTCAGCAGAGTCTTGTTGGTGCTGTGTCATTGACACTGGATTTTGAAACTTTCTCTCTCACCTGTGATAACTGGATCCTGTAATTCTTTCTGTTTGGTATTTATAGGAAGATATTTACATGTTCAGGCACACTTCCTCTGTTTTCTGGATTTTGCCCTCCTTTTCCACTCAAAGATGAGTTAATCTCTCACACATGTCTTGGGACAGCCTGAAAAATCAGTTCTTGTGTTTCATGTGCCCAGTCAGAAACTGCAGTAAAATCCCATCTGAGGGTCTCAGGCTTTTCACCTTTGAAACCAACGAGTTTTTCCATTGACTTCAGTAAATTTTGCAAGAGCCTTGCTTTGGTTAAATGGAGATTCCTCCTGCACAGATTTCCACGTCTCAGGATTTTGTGCCATGCATTCCTCTTTGCACCTTGCAGCAGTTGTGTTTTTTGACTGATTGAGGACTGGGATCACCATGGCAGGACTTCCAGTGGCATCTCCCAGATCCCAAACGGACTAACAGAGCTCCTGGGGTGTCACAGAAGAAGGAAATTGTGTTTCAGAGCAGCTGAGTCAGCTGGAGCAGCTGGGAGGCATCCAAGGGTGCTGGGGAGCTGGCTGGTGTCACTGCCAGGTCACCTCAGCTCTCAGAGGTCTTGGACATTGGAAAAGGTTATGACAGAAAAAATGCAAATTCTGCCTGGAAAGAAGGACAAAATAACCCCTCAGGGCATATTCCCATTTGGTTTCTGAGGGCAAAAATCAGCAAAGCCCAACATGGTTTGACTCAAGTTCTTCCAGTCTTCCCAGTCAGGAGCTTTCAGTGGCTGACTGGTGTGAGCAATATTCCCCTGCTTATGGAGAGGGAGGGAAATGAAATGTCAGAACTGGTTACTTACAGTTATTTTGAGCTTGTTCAAGTCCACAGATCAATAATATGAAAAGGAGTTTGCTGTTGAGAGAAAAACTCTCCCTTTTCAGCCTCTGCAGAGGCCTTGATGAGCTCCAAGACGACTGAGTCAATTTGGAACGTTTGGTGGGAGTGGGGTTCATTTTTAGGTGAAGCAGAAGGAACTCTTTTGAGATCAGTTTACACGAGTGCTTGCCCAATTCCCACTGCTGTCGTCTGGAATTCTGAACAGATAAAATCAAGGATGAGTTTAAAGATAAAATTTGTCTAAAAGTTTTTGCGTGCTGGAGGCATCCCCTGTTAATGATGTGAGGGGAAATTTGGTAGAAATTCAGCTTTCCCTGTGTTCAACATTCATGTGCAAGTTCCCTTTTTAAGCTGAAATTACTCCCAAAGCACTTCTACCACCGTGCTGTTTGGAGAAAAAGACATTTTGCCTTTTCCTGCATTAAGAACTTGGAAGAAGAAAGCTTGCTGGATTCAAAGTGGTGAAGAAAAAAAAATAAGGATTGGATTTTTTTTTTTACAAGAAAAGTTGGGAGTACAGATTTGTCTAGAAATGGAAATTAAACTTAAAAAAGTTTCTAAAGTGACATTTTAGTAATTAATACTTTTAGTTACTAAATTTTTTATTACAGACATTGGATTTATTGTGCTGAGAATTTTACAGCTCATTGAGCTGTCACTCATTCAATTAAAACATTTCAGTTATTTGGTGAATTCTTTTAACAGATTCTTAGTTCTAACTTCTGAAATATTTGGGGATTTTACAGCAGAAGACAAATTTACAGAGAAAATCAAGTCAGAAAAATGCCAGTGGCCATCCCCACGTCTGCAGTGCTCCTGCTGCTCTTCCCAATAATGATGTTGTGTAAAGAAATGAGTGTTTCCAGTCTTCTGTGGGCTCTTCTTTTTTCCAATCAAATGAATCATGGAAGAGCATGGGGAGATTCTAAAACTGCAGAATTATTTCATGGAGCTTTTAGGTTTGCATGGAAAAAGAGCATTCAGAGTCTGTTTAATTGAATGCTTTAAATACTCTTCCCCAAATTTCACTGCACTCACCATGAATTTATTGACTGATCAAACCCCAGGCCTTAATTACATAAAACAACAAAGATAAATCAAGCACTTGAGTATGTGAAGATATCAGTAATATCTTCATCATTTCCTACAGATTTATTATCTTCTTTTAAGTATCACATCAACTTCTTCAGCATAAATTGTCCTTGTTTGCTTTGATCCCAGGAGCTGAGAGCAAAGCCAGCTCTGAGGCCAGGTAGTTAGCAGAGCACGGGGAGGCTGCAGCTGGAAATCAGGAGAACAGGCTGTGTTTTATTGATTTGGTGGTGTCTAACATCACTCACCATTGATCTGCCCTTGGCTAGACCAGGAAAAATTAGCAATGGCTTCATTACGGATTGGTGGCCTCCCAAGAGCTCACATCCCTCAGCAGATCTGTGATTTGTGTGGAGCTTTCAGAGGAGGCCCAAGTTGTCAATCACAGGAGAAGCTGACATTGATTTCACATTTATTTATTTCAGCAATTACAGAGTGGGTTGACTTGGGGACCAGTTGGTTTTTCTCTTGATTCTGGCATGTTTCCTTCACCAATTAACGTGTTTTCCTTAGTTGGTTTTTTATCGTTATCTGCCCCTGAAAAAGTGGTTGCTTAGCTTATCCATTCTACTAAAAATATGTTTGAAAGGATGTGGACAGCAGAAACCTTTGTAATCCCTAGAATTTTATTTTTAGCATCAAAACAATTTCTTAGGGGTCACCCTCAGGTCTTGATGAACTTTCCAAAAAAAGGTCCGTACTTTTTGGTCATGCATTCGTTGTAGAAGGGTCTCACAGGCACAATCTTTGATGCAAAGCCTTTTAGGGTTTGTTTTCTAAAAAGAAAATTTCGGATTTCTCCTTCCCAACACACTTCATAGAAATCCAAACATTGGGAAATGACAGAATCCTTTGAAAAAGCCTGGATTGCTCCTGGCACTTTCTGTTTTGTCCCACTGCAGCACCTTGGAGTAATTCCCCTTTTAACTTCAGGCTGCTGCTCCATTTTCTGGGATCTGTTTGAAATAAAAGCTTCATTTTTTCCACTATGATTCCTGTTAATGTGGGGGTGGTGAATAGGGAAATCAGTAGAACTCAGAATTAAACTCAGTATAAAGAATTGCCTTAACTAAAGCATGAGTTGCCCATCAGATTACAAATATCTTTTGAGGGTTCCTGATGGAAAATTTGAATAGATTATGAAGAAGCCAGAGGGGAAAAAAATAGATATTTCAATTAATTAAATATAAGCACAGTCAGGAGCCACCAAGAAGGTGTTTCTGGACAGATGATGTCTTCATCAAAAGAGAGTTTGATGAAGAGTGGGTTAACCTGGGGACCTGCCTCCAGTTGGTTTTTCTCTTGATCCTGGCATGTTTCCTTCACCAATGTATATGTTTTTCTTAGTTGTTTTTTTATAATTATCTGCCCCTGAAAAAGCATTTGCTTTGCTTATTCATTCTACTACAAATACGCTTGAAAGGATGTGGGAAGCAGGAACCTGGTGAAATGGTTAAAGAGGTAAATTTTAACAGGAAAGTAGATATGTGTGAGAAAAAATAAAGCTTTTGAGTGCTGTGTAATGTGCTGTGAGACTCTAAAGTTCCTCAGGTGTTACTAAGCAGGTGTTTGGGGAATTAGCTCAGCAAACCAGAGCAGGCTGGGAGAAGGGAGGACCCTGGAGCTGGGAATTGGCAATTTTGGCTGTTAGTGCTGCTGTCACCCTGTATGGCATCAAACCATGGCAGTTCCATCTCTAACATTTATTTCTGTGCTTTCCTTGCCCCCCTCCCTGGTTTTGTCCCCAGATCAGCCCCCTGAGGCCGCAGAGACCCAAGAGCCAGGTGCTGAACGTGATGTCCAGCGAGCGGCGATTCTCCGTGTCCCCGGCGCCGCCCAGCTCCCAGCTGAGCCCGCCCCCCATCACCCCTCGGGCCAAACTCGCCTTCAGCATCCAGCCCAGTAAGTCTCTCTGAAATAAACTCCTTTTAGCGTGGAAAGGCATGTCCTGAGCAGTTCTTCACACCCTGGTGTGAGTTGCACCATCACCAGGGTGTTTCTTGCACCAGGTATTGATCCCTCAGGTTTGGCTTTTCTATCTTCACATTCTGTGCTGCTTTAGTGTGTGGGGCTGTGTCACTGTAGGACATGAAGAAACACAAGCGCACACTGCTGTACTCAAGGTGAAGGAAAAGGGAAGTTTGTTTTCTGACTCTAACATTTATAGTTTTCTAAGAGTGACAGTGGCTTGGATGGTGACAGTGCCACCTCTCCAATGACACTGGTCAAACCAACAGTCCATCAAATTTCTCCTCCTCCACAAAGGAATGCAAAACAATGAGTTACATACAGAAAAGTGTGTGAGAAAGTTCACTACAAGAATGTCAACATCAGAAGGCTTAGAAAATCTTAAAAAACCAGGGTGACAGGTCTGAGCTTCACATCAGGGATGCTGAGCTCTGTGCACAGAGCAGGGAGACAAAACAATTCCTGCTCCAGCTGGGCACCAAGGACAAATGATCCAAATCCCAGCCCAGGAGCACAAACCCCGTGGGCTGGAGAGAGAAAAACAAGCAGGGTGGGAGTGCCTGGGCTAAAGCTGGGATGGGACAATGAACTGCAAGGTGCAAATGGAGCAGAACTGATCCCAGGGACAGAGCCCGTGCCCCTCGTGCATTTTGGGGCCATTTTGGTTCATCTTGGGTGCAGCCCTGGCTGGGCTCTGGTGCTGCCCAAGGTGCAGCCATGCAGGAGATGATTTCCATAAATCCCTGCTTTATTCTGGAGCTCTGTCCATCCTCTGCTCTAGGTCAGCCTTCACAAGGCCATCAGTATTACTTAACCTCTTACCTTTGCCAGCAAAAATTAATTCAGTATTTTACAAAAGCAAGCAGAATCATTGCAGTGAAACAGTTTCTTTTCAAGTCATCATTAACAATTAATTAGGTGTAGAGTAACAGTCAAAAATTCGTGTTGTACTTGATCCCATATTGAGTGTTTTGGAGCATGAAGGCTTTAAAAGCAATATTTTTTTTTGTAATTGTACATTAAAAAAACTTCTCTTTGATATGTTGTGAGTACAAACCAGAAGGGAAAATAAAGGTCAGGCTTTTTGACATAGTTTTTGTTTGACATTGACATCTATCACTCAGCTTTTCTGTAAAGTATCATCTGTTTGCTTCAGTCTGCAGCAAACCCTATTGCAGAACTGGGTGTAATCCAACACCTATTTCTTTCCCAGTGCTCTTTCCCAAAACCTGTTATTCTGAGTTTGCAGCTGCCAGCATGTGACAAAAAAGAAAAAAAAAATTATCTTTTTTTATACATATCCCCACATCAACTCCAGTGGCCAAGAGTTCAGTGTTAGTAAGGAGGAGAAGAGATGATCAGTCTTCATAAAAAAATCTTTTCCATCAAGGTCACTGCTTTATTTACTGGCTGTGGTACTTCAACATTTTTCCTCTTAAACAGTCAGTCACACAAAGCAAATATTTTGATTACAATGAACTTGTAACTCTCACCTTCCTTTGCAATTTTATATCCAGAAACTAAAAACTAAAAATGCTAAAAAAAGGGAATACAGAGAACTAGGGGATATATACTTCTGCAAAAGATATTTTAATTGGATTTTTTTATCATATGTAAATTTTATTAACACTTAATTTGATTTCTCTTTTTTAAAAGTATCTGAGGTTACCAGGTATCTCTGAGAATGTTTTTATGCTAGAGATTGGTGGATGTTACATTAAATAAGATCAGCTTATTGCACTAGTCTAGAATCATTTCAGGAATTACAGTGATAATTTTTTTAGGAATTCCAAGGATAAAGAAGTTCCTTCAGAGCCCAAATTGGCTGAAAGCAGTTATTGGGTTGCTAAGCAATCCTGGCTGCCTGTTAGCTGGCACTTGAGGAGAAGGGAGTGGAAAATGTGATCATTAGGGTAAGATGAAAAAAGGGTCCCTTAACTGATCCTGTGCCAGCTCCAGGATCTTCCCAGGGGCACATGGCCAGCAAGGAACAAATATTCAGAGCACACTCATTGATGAACCACCTTGAATAATGAATTTCACTGAATAATGGGAGCACAGCAGAAATTTGGGGTTATTATTTTAGTGACCATCTTAGGGGGGTTTAGTTCAGCTGAGGAAATCAACAGATCTTCAGCAAATAGATTTTCTTGGGACAACACTGAGAATTCCTGGATTTGTTCAATACCTGCTGCAGGGGAGGTGTTCCCTGGATTTCACTGAATTCTGGGAAAGATCAAATCATTGTTTCTCAGGGTAGAATCTTGTTGTTCCACTAAACAGTTGCCAGATAAATGCAAACACATTGCTTGTGTATTTCATGAGCTCTCCCCGTGGGTGGAAATGCTCTGCCCACACTTGCAGGGATTTATTTATTTGGATCCTTGATCAGGATGAGGTTGGGAAGGTGCCATGGACAGGCTGCAGGAAATTCCAGCTGCTGCAGGAGCTGGGGGATGTGGGAGAGGGGGAGAAGCAGAGCAGGACACAGCTGCAGGGACAGGTGGGTTCCATCCATGTTCTCCAAGCAGAGTTGCCTCCACACCTTGTTTCCTCTCCAGCTCTGCTGATAACATTCCTCAGATGCTTCCTGAAAACTTGTCTTTCCATGGGTCCTCCAAGGATTTGTTTAAAAAAAACAAAGGATTTGGGTTATTCCTAACAAAATGGGTCTCACCATCCTCTTGGGATCACCTTGGCTTAGGTGAAGTCAGAAGTTTTATCATGGAAGAAGTGAAATCTTGTTGTTTGAAAAAATACAGAATGCAAAACTGAAGTGTTCAGGGGGGTAAATTTACTTTATTTTTGGGAAATTGTGGGTTATTCCACTCAGTTTCCCAAGGAATGTTTACAAAGAGGCCTAAAAACAAAATATGGGAAGGTTTCTCTTTCTGAAGCAGCATTCAGGGTTTTGGTACAGCTCTAACTAAACACATAAAAGGATATGCCAAAACATTTCCCAACTGTTTCCCTGTATTACTCTGAACTGCATGGAAAAACCAACCAAAAATTCAGATATCAATATATGTAGCTAAGATATAGATGTTTAGTAGTGTGGGAGATGTGCAGGACCTGTGCCAAGGACAGGTATCCTTGTGTGTCCTGTGTTTTGTGACATCAGATATTTCAGGTTCCTGAGTTCTTTAGAATGGATGGGGAATTCATCCAAAATGGACAGGGAAGTTCATTCCCAGCATCAATCTTCAGTTACAAATGCCCAGTGTGGTTTTCCAGCTGCAGTTCAGTTCCATGAAGAAGCAGATTCTCATGGACATGCAGAAAGGAAACTCTGAGGAATGTCTGGGGAATGGAGGAATCCTCTCTGTAGGAAGGGAAGGATGAAAAACAGGAGCAATGGAAAATGCAATGAGAAATTCAGGTCCTGGTGGACAAACAACATTTTCAGCCTATTGGAGAGGCAGCCACTGAAAATGTGCAGTCCCAGGATGGAAAATAACCTTTTTTTCCATGTAGTCAGGAGTTCAGGTGGAAGGATGAGGAGTAAAATTGCAGTTTTCAGTGACAAATCAATAGAGCCACCTTAGAGTTAAATTGTGTTGTGAGAGGCCATTTTAGAGAACAATAAAATCACACTTTTAATAAAATATTGATATGAGCTTTGCAATAAAAACATCTGCGTAAATAAGTCCTCACTTGTTTCACAAATCACCCCAGTAAAATAAAATAGAAATCACCTTTTATTTTTTTTCCCTAAATAAAATTCCCCCATTTATAAACAAATCATTTCAGTTTCTTATCTCGTAGAGATCGCACTGGGTTTTATTAAAATGACTGAATTAAAATGACTGTATTAAAATGACTGAATTACCCTGAAATACACCGTGGGGGGATTTCTCCCCAAAAACCTATGTATCACTCGGGCCTCAATAAACTTTATTGTCCCTCAGGCTATTTGCCTCTCCAGCACATACCTGGGAGGATTTATCTGCTAAGAAAAGGGAATTTTCTCCCCAGCACACAGGAATAATGAATGTTTGGTACTTTCTCGTGCATGATTTTATTTACTCAACAACTAATGGCTGCTCATTTGTTATAGTTACCTGGAGCCTGAAAGTTTTGGAGAGAGATGTACTTAATTCCAGGCTTTCACTTGTGCATTTTATTAACAGAGAACTTTGATTTTACTGGGAGAAAGTCAATAAAACTTAGCCAGATTATATTTTCTTTGTGCACTTTGCAAAACTTTGTGTTTTAATGTACAAGGCGAACTTGAAGGGTGGGGAGATTATATTTATTTTACTAAGCTATGAATGTTTTGGTGGGAAACATGAAACAAAAATGATGTTTTATTAAAAACAGGGGGTTGTTCAATTATTTTGAAGGCATTTTAAAGTGAGTCCAAGGCCAGGTTGGACAGGGCTTGGAGCAACCTGGGATGGTGGAGGGTGATGGTGGAAGTCCATCAGCCATGAGTGGGTGATCCATGAGGTCCCTCCCAACCCAAACCATTGTGGGATTGCAGGATCCAGCTGCTGGCAGGGTTAACCCAGGGTTGTTTTTTGCAGATCTGGAGCTGAATGGGATGTCCAGCTCTGACATCCCCGACGTTCCCCCTCCTCTGCCCCTCAAAGGAAGCACGGCCGACTACGGGAACCTCATGGAGAGCCAGGACCTGGTCAGCCCCACCACGTCCCCCCCTGCCC